TTTATTTATTTATTTATTTGAATAGGGACAGAGCACATTAATGGACATCAGTGAAAACAAATGTAAATATGCCGGATTGTAGCTACAAAGCTAATTTTCATCCGTAGTCCCTAGTTAAAAAATAACATATAATAAACAATACAAGCATCACAATTAAAAGTTTAGATTTTAGTGGTCACATGACTGGCTTGCTTTCATCCAGAGTTTAAGTTGATCTCTAAAGCTGGTCAGTTTATATGTAAAGGTTTGCAATATTCACATCACTGTCTTTTAGTCCCAGCTCTCAGCATAAAGTAAAATCTGGATTAAACACAAACGATTCATTTTGAAGTGCCTGAGCAACCTGCAGGTGTGTAGCATTTATTATAAGAGGGTTCATTATAATAAAGCTTTATATGTAATATAAAGTGTTTCTCAAATAGTGTGACCCTGGGGAACAGCCTGTTTTTTTTGGCCGTACTAGTATAAAGTGTAATTGCGCATCCACTCCAGTAGGGGGCAGTGGTGCTAACATCGTTACTTCAGTGCAACATTTTACGACTTAAAGACTAGCCTTGGTTAGCATCTGCGTTCTGTCTATAGCCTCCATTATTCAACATAAAAACCCCCAACATGAAAAAGTTTTTAACAAGGATGCAAAGAAAAACAGAAAGAGACAAAGATAACGAGACAAAAGAAAAAGAAGTCACCCGAAAGCGTTTTAGTGTTTTATATATGGTGCTCCTGAGTTAATGTTGCTTATCTGGATATAAATTAGTTATTATTTTTGTTGTTTTTGTAGTTTATTAGTTATTATAATTATTAAATATTATTTATTGATTTGATTTAATTTTGCTACGGTGCAATTAGTTGGTGGAACACGTTTACAGTTTAAACAAGGATTTATTTATTTTTAATTTCAGGCATTGATGCAGTTAAAAAAATTTCTGTTGCAGACTTAAAACACGATTTAATAAGGTTGTAAGTTTGACGATACATCTTTCTTTTTTCCTTTTCTTTAATCTTAATAAGGATAAAATGTTATGCAGAGATGGATAGTCGCGGTGGGGAGTGGGGGGGCGCGAAAAAATCTTTTCTTGTAACAGAAAATAATTGATAAGCACTGGTTTAGTGGGTGTATTTGGTTTGGTTGGTGTCATGGTGGGTGGAATTACAACAGTGTGCCTCTTTTCCTGCATGCTGACCCCAGATGGACCCACAGGTAGGAAAAACCCAGAGGGAGAAACTGATGAGAGCTCAGTGGTTTATATTTATGCACATGCTCGTGTCAAAAAATATGTCTTGCATCTACAGACATTAACTTTTTTTTTATTTTTTAGAATTTTATTTATTCAAATTTTCAAATTTTACAACATTACAGACATTAAATTGTTTTTTTTTTTAATTTTAATTAGAATTTTCAACTTTTACAACGATATTACAAACATGAACCTGTTTTTTTTGTTTTTTTTTTAATTAGAATTTTCAACTTTTACAACAATATTAGACAACAATATTTTTTATTTTATTTATTAAAATGTTCAACTTTTAAATTACAGACATGAACTTTTTTTTTTTAAAGATTTTTTTTTTTTAAATCTTCAACTCTTAGAACAATATTAGACAATGGACTTGCTTTTTTTCGAATTTTATTTATTGAAATTTTCAACTTTTACAACCATTTTAGACATCAACTTGTTTTTTGTTTTTATTTTATTTATTACATTTTTCAACAACATTGATAAAAAATCTGTGTTTAGCAACATAGAAGAAAAATACCTTTTTAAAATAAAAATCCCAAAACAAAACAACATTGGAAAAAAAAGGGAGAAAGGAGAAAAACAACCCACTTACAGTATCTATCATACAAAATCAGTTTAAATATACAGCCTTTGCATCTTGCTGGATTTCCCAGAAGTCTGTGAATTGTTCCCATACTCTGTACAAAGTTTATAGCTTCCCTTTGTTAGCATAATAGCATAAATCCATCCTAATGACTCTCCTCTCTCCGTTTCTGCGTCAGAACGCCTCCCTGCAGCACCTCTTCATCCAGAAGAGCTTCCGGACTTGTTTTTTATTTTTTTATTTTTTTATTTATTGAAATTTTCAACTTTGACAACATTACAGACATTAACTTGTTTTTTATTTTTATTTTATTTATTAAAAATTTCAGCTTTTACAACAATATTAGACATCAACTTGTTTTTTTATTTTTATTTTATTTATTACATTTTTCAACAACATTGATAAAAAATCTGTGTTTAGCAACATAGAAGGAAAATACGTTTTTAAAATAAAAAAAAAACAACATTGAAAAAAAAAATATATAAAGGGGAAAAAAACCCTCTTACGGTATCTATCTATCTATAAAATCAGGATGTTGAAATATACAGCGTATGCATCTTATACATTTTGCTGTTTTTCCAAGAAGTTTGTAAATTGTTCTCATACTTTTTAGAACGTTTTTTTTACATAAATCCATCCTATTGACTCTCCCTCTCTCCGTTTCTGCGTCAGAACGCCGCCCTGCAGCACCTCTTCATATCTATCTATCTATCTATCTATCTATCTATCTATCTATCTATCTATCTATCTATCTATCTATCTATCTATCTATCTATCTATCTATCTATCTATCTATCTA